TATACTGTTTATAACGCATTAACGGCTATTTCAAGTTATAGAGTACCTAATATAAATATCAGTCAAAAACTTGAAATAATCAATGACCTTAGCCTTAATAAAGATGTAAGATATAAAGGATGTTATAAGGAAAGTCCTTATTGTAATCAAAGAATGTTAAATGGTACATCAGAGGAACACTCCGGAATGACAATTGAAGATTGTTTAAAATTTTGCGGAGGAAATAATTTCAAGTATGCAGGACTCGAGGTATGGGTGACTGATTTTTTTTTAAAAACACGCGATGATTAATTCAACTTTTTTAATCACAGCCTGTTTTAATTGTAAAAATGTGTCTAAATAATCATGAAAAAGTATTTAAATCTTTTTTATTGCCATTTTTAGGTAGGGTCGCAGTGTTTTTGCGATAATGATTATAGAAGTCTAACCAGACTTTCCATAGAAGAATGTAGTTCTAGTTGTGAAGGTAATAGTTCGCAAATCTGTGGGGGTCCTTTGGCCCTTAGTATATATAATGCTTCAGATTTTATACCATCTCCAAATGTTCCTCCACCGTCTTCACCAGGTGGTCTTTCAGGTGGTCAAATAGGTATTGTTGTTGGCGTTGTTGTTGGCGTTGTTGGCGTTGTTGGTATTGCTTTAATTATAGCATTGATAGTACAAAGGAAATTATTTTCTAAATGTTCAGGTACTAAGTCAACAGACTCAAATGTCAAAAGTGATAATAGTTCAGATAAAGAATAAATGTCAAAAGCGATAATAAGTCAGATAAAGAATCACTCTAAAATGAAAGTAACAATACTAAAATTATTATCAGATACAACATAATAATTTGCATTCATTATTCTAATAAGTAATACTGAAAAAATATATTAATTAGTAGTTTCGGTTTGTTATAAAAATTGAATAGTTAAACATTATTAATTTATTAGCTCATTATAAGTTTGTTATTTGTTTTAGCATTAGTTTTAAATTGCTTAATGTTTAATATTACCTATTAAATTTGATTTTTAAAATCAGTTTTTATTTTTAAATTAAAAATAAACCATTCATTTAAAGAAAAGGTAGTTTTGTTAACTTTACTCTAATTTTGAGCAAACATTTATAAAAGCTTTATGAATCTCTATTAATATAATTAATTTTTACTAAATTCTTTTCAACAATAAAAACTAAAAAGTGAAATATGCAAACTAATATATTAAAATAAAGTAATGAATCAGTTTGTTGGGCCATTAATAAGTTGGGTCTCATAGATAAATGCATTATTCTTTATTCTTTAAATGCGTACTATGAACTTGGTCCATAATGCAATTACATAATAATTACTATAAAAGAGCCAATCATATTTTATTAAATGAAATAATTTTTTAGATATTGATATAAAATTATAGTAATTATTGTTTGGATTTCTAATAAAAGTTGTAAAAAGCTTTATGATTCTAACATAACAAACTCTCCAAAATTGATTTAGTAGTTTTTAAGACATGAACATAAACTTTACAAAATATAAAATTTATATCTTTAAAATTTATTAAATGCCTAGCTAAGTTTCATATATATATATATACTATTATTATTATTATTATTATTATTATTATTACAATAAATTGTGTTTGTT